TTTTTTTTTTTTTTTTTTGTCCAATGAAATCCACTCTCCTTAGCCACCACATCCATTCTTCCCTAACTTCTAAAATAGTTCCATTAGCTTCAGCAGGACAGACCACAAGGCACCATATGCCTGCACGGCAAAACCAGGCTCCTAGGTTCTTGCTGTCAGCTGGATGAGTGTGTGACACAGTACGAATGGTACAACGGACTGAGGTACTATGTTATCTTTAATTTCTAAAGCAGTGTTTTCCAGGGTTCATGTTAATACTTATTTCAGAGGTGTTCTCATAACCGACCTTATCATCCGTCTTTCGTACGGATCGTTTCTAAGCTTTTGTATTTTAGAGACTTCATGTTGTGCTAAAACTTCAACCATGAATAAAGGCTGGGGGGCCATTACTGAGCAAGACAGAAGGGAAAAGTGGGATGAGGAGGCCACTCACCACTCGGACAACGGTGGCGTTGGCCACACTTGCATTCCCGACCTCCTTGGCGTACTTCCTCACGGCCTTTCTTCTGGCGCTCATAATGAGTGCTGGGTTCACTCCAGTCTTTACAGAAGAGCAAGATACACAGAGTCACTTCTTGGCTGCCAGGATCCCATCCAAACGCAGCTGATCTTCAGATCTCTCCATCTGACGGTTTTCTTTGTCCGGGGGCCAGCCCAGCCTGCTCTCCCCATCCCTCTCCCTCATACACCCTGAGCTAAGGTATGCCCTCATTAACAGAACATCCGAACCTTCCCTATTCTTGGTCTGGATTCAAGATAACCAGAGGCTAAGGTATTGGAGAGAACTTTAAAGGTAGTATTTTTCAAACTTAGATCCTTCCAATTCTTATATTTAAGAGACTCTGTGGGTGGACTGGGAGGTTTTCATATATACTGGGCAGTGTGGGGTCAAGTTCTAATTATGACCCAAAGAGCATATGTAATGCTAAGGGTAAGAAATCTAAATTTTTTTCACATTTTTTCTTACAGTTTTTTTGAAAAGGTAATATATATATATATGATAAAAGAGAATGAACAGTAGTGTTAGTTGCACAGCAATGTGAATGTACTTAATTCCATCCACTGAATTGTACACTTGAAAGTGGTTAAAATGGTAAACTTTATGTTTATGTATTTTACCACTGAAAGAAAGTAGAGAGAAAAAAAAAGTAGAGAAAGAGAGAGAATGAAACAGTATACAAGGTATACCAAGACATTTAAGTGGCCCTCACACCACTCTTGATGCACAGGTTCCCTCCTCAGAAATAATTACACTCTTAATTTCTTGTGACTTACCTTTCTTTTTAATGCACTGCTATACAAGTCACTATTTGCATAATAAATTGGAGCATTTATTTGGAATATTTTTATTCCAGGTATTTCTTTCACCTGAGAAATAAAATATTAGTGAATTTAACACAGAAAATTTCAGAGTAAAAACTGCAATTGCTCCCCTCCTCCAACTTGAAAATTAATATGGAAGTTGCTAAGGGCCCTTTTATAGTGTTTAAATAAAATATTGTCACCCTACCCTACCTATGCATGCTCAGGGGGTGGCAGGGGAGACTGAGAAGACAGCCTTGAAAAAATGTACATCTTCCCATTTCTATTGTGAATATTCCTTTGTTTCATTCTTGCTGTAAAACACAAAGAAGAAGCTGAAAGATATTGAAAAAAGCGAAAAGAAAATGGATAGGAAAGGGTAGAGTGCCACTCAGACTGTGAGAAGCAGGCAAATAAAGCGAACAGAGATTTATATTCGTTGATTTATGGAATACAGGCAGGAGTCAAAATGGACACAAGTGAAACAGAGTGGATATTTTATTACAAGTCTTCCTGGAACTCAAAACACAGTTTGGAAATGAGTAGGCCAGCACATAATTCTTTGGAAGGAGGAAAAAAATAGCAATCCTATTTATCTCCATTAAGAAAAGAAGACAAATAAATATCAGGCAGGCATTTGAGTAATTAATGTACAGTATAAACTATAAAACTGAATCCACACAGTAAATCGGAGTTCAGGCCTTTCACTTTGACCACCACACTCCCCAGCTTTTCATCCTCACTTTTTATCTGAGGGAAAAATAATATTTACTTAGCCAATGACATCCCATTCTTACAACCACTTAAAATGATAGAAATAAGTCATACCTCCTCATATGCATCTATATCGATATATACATCAGTATCAGGAAGCTGCCCGAGGACTTTGTAGCTAGGACTGAAGACAGAGAGTGGGTGTGTTACGGTTCATTGTGTGCAGGCCCCATATGTGATTTAAACACGAAGTTTTTCATGTTTCCGTGTCATTTATGGATTTCCTAGTGAATTCAGGAATACTGTATCCTCACATGGTACCCTTGCAGGAGGGCAACACATATCTCACCTCCCAGTGCCATCCCAAGCCTAACCATGCCACGCCCTGCCCCATACACAATATACTCACAGCACATACAGCTCACACTACTAGGACCACACACACACACATACCCCTTACATACACACATACACAAAACACCACACACAGACACACACACACACACACACTATAGAGACCACACACATCACATCATATCATGCAAACAATCTGGTCAAGACAAAAGACTGGCATGTAGACATGGGGTGATAATGAATTGTGCAGAGCTCCAGTCATGCCAGGGACATGTGTAAGGCAAATTCTCAGGCCACTCTATGCCACTCAGCACACAGAATTGTTTTCCTAGTCTAATTCTAAAGTAGGAGAGGATATTTTTGTTTTGTTTCTCATGAGTCTGACTTAAGGAGTGGAGGTGGTCAACTGAAGGAGTGGGGAGAAAACAAAAACCTCAAATTAGCACAGAAGTTCTGAGTTTGGTTTGAATTAATTTAAACATTGCTTCCCAAGAGCCCTAATTCCTAAGTCGTTTTAGAGGGTAATCTGGCTCAAAGTAGCTACTGCAATGATAAAAGATACTACCTCCTAAGCACCTGCTATTACCTTATTATAGCCTCTGAATAATCCTGTTGGGCTTGTTCCTATCACAGTGTGGATGAGAAATTGAGGCCCAGCAGGGTCAGGTAAGTTGTTCAAGGTCAAAGCCAGGGTATGACTCAAGGTCTTTGATTTGACATTCCATGGTCTTGCTTCTATGCCCAGGTGCTTCTTGGCATGTATGTGCAAGTACTTTGTGAGTGAGAATATATAATACAAAGGTTAGCTGCTTTTCTAAGTAAATTCCCTCAACAAACACTTAGAGAACATGCATGATATGTGTGGCACTGGACTCCAGGAACCCTGCCTCTACAGTCCAGGTGCTCAGAGTCCAGTGAGGTCTGCTGACTAACGCAATACATTCGAAGACAAAATGGCAATCTTATACAGGATGCTCGTGCCTTTGCCAATCTCTGCACTCACCTCTGTGTTCTGTAAATCACAGTCAGCAGAGCAATGATCACAGCAGTAATCAAACCATAGTCCAGTCCCAGGAACAAGGAGGAAACAAAGGTGGTAAGCCAGATGGTCTAAACAGAAAGCAGAAAGCTTTATGGAGAATCATGTTAAAAATTTCCTAGGAGTTACACACATGCACACATACACATGCATGTGAACACACGGTAGCTAAACTTGCTCAACTGGATACTACATGTAACAACTGACTGAACTAACTTGTCTTTCTTACATCTTTATCAGCACTAATCCAAGTGTGGCTGGGACATATTCACCTGACAAACACCTTTGTTACTTACCAGTTCTATTTTGCTGGTTCTCCAGAAAAAGGGGAGGTCTGAGAATTGCATAAACATTCCTTTCAGGTTGACGATCACAATGGCTGACAGCACAGCCTGAAACACAGGACATCCATGCATGCCTCTCTTCTTGTGTCCAAAGAGCCCCCTCTGCTGGCTCCTTACTGTCCTCCTGCTGCCCTCCCGACATCCTCTCCCCACTCACTTCCTATATGGCAGTGATGGTTCGTTTGGAGCCACGAACACCTGCATTTTCAGGACTTGGTTAGCTAAAACGGACCTTGGAAAACCATGCTTATATCCTAGTAGCAAACCTGCATGGTGGTCAAGAAGTTCAGAATTAAACTTGGTACTCAAGGAATTATTTCACCCAGGTCTTCCTATATTATGATTTTCTCTATTCTTTATCATTTCTGATTTCTACTAGGTTAAATATATCATAAAACCAATGTCTCATGAGTGGAGGCCATCTCAGATTTTTAACGGAAGTACAAGGTGATAAAAGGACCTTATCAATTAGCCAATCTGAACTCCCATTTTGCAGATAAGGCAACTGAGACCCACAGATGTTGAGATGGCTTTCCCAAGGTCCTGGTTACCAACAGATTGTAGGGCAGGATCTTGGTCCTAGCCTTGAACCTTTCTCATACCACCCTGCTAGGGGTATAGCAACCCCCCCAACCCCAAGATGGCCACAAATATACAAAAACAAAGTAGCAAACTCTCCACACATGTAAAAGATTTGCACAAAGTCCAAGTGACATACCTGGGGTAATGATTCGAAGAGGAATCCGGTGGCTAATATGACCAGGAGAATCATCAGTGAGGCCAAACAACCTGCGAGCTGAGAGAAGACACATGGAAGGGGCTTTTAGGAGACTGGAGTAAAAGGCAGGGCATGGATTGGTCTAAGTCTTCTGATAATCACTGTGGGAAGATGAAGAAACTATGGCTTCAAATATCACACCAACTATAACATAAACCTATACTTACTTCCCACTCCCTCCCTGAAGTTTTGGTTCCTCTTGTAGCTTTTAAACAGAAGCTGAAATGCTTAAATACCCTGACTGGGATGCCCTTGGTAGGGGCGGGGAAGAGATGCCTGGGGCTGACCTGAGACTAGAAGGGTCAGAGGAGATCAGATGAGACCCTACTGTCCAGTGCGGTAGCCACCAGCCACATGTGGCTAATTAAGTTCAAAAAATTAAATACAATTTAAAACTCAGGTCTTAGTTACACTAGCCACATTTCAAATGCTTATGAGCACATGGGGCTAGTGGCTGCCATATGGATGGTGCAAATACTGAACATTTTCATCTCTGAAGAAAGTTCTATTAGATGGTGTTGGCATTCTGCCTATACTAAGACTCAGGCTTTCATGACAACATCCTATGTCTCAATTCTGAGGTTTAGTGATTGCATGGAGTAGTGCATAATTTTTCAATTTAACTGGAGAATATACCTCTTTCCTATCAATTTGTTTCTGTGATTTACTTCAACCGATCATGCCCTTCTCTGACTCACTACCCAGCTCACTGGAGCAGAGATCTTTATGCAGAGCAGCTCTGTTTGCATTTGGAATAGAATTAAGGGATTAAAGTTTACCATCCACATCGCCAGTCCTTAGAGGTCCAGTTGTATACACACCTGTGTCTTCCCTCCAGTCCCCTCCTGAACAAGGCTTCGAGACAAAGAGCAAGAAATTGAAAAGGTCTGGAAGAGCGAGCCAATGGAATTGCACAGTCCCAGGGCAATGAGTTCCTTTTCCACATGGAAACAAAGCACAAAAGAGAGCAGTCATTCTTCAAGAAGTAAGCATGGTGGCCTACTTAATGTATATTTTCAGCAGCATAGGCTGTATTTTTGTTCTCTTTCAGATACAATAATTTACTTGGCAGAAGCTCAAAATAAAGATTATTACATAATTAAAGGTGGGAGAAAATCACTGAATTTTTATTGTGTCTGAGATAAATGCTGCACTTAACCCACTCTTTTCCAAACACATGCTCTACACAAATAATTTTTTTTAAGAGAAAATAGCAGCAGAAAGGATAAAATATTTTTGTTGTTCAAGAGAAAGTTATTGGCATATAGGGCTCCTGGCATCTTTTAAATGCCTGAGCCCTTGTGCATCAGCAAGTACAAGCCAGCGTCCTCCCAGGACCAGAGGGTGAGCCCTGCTTTCAGGGCTACTTCTGGTCTTCCTAGTTGGATCACTGTGTTGTGTATGTGAAGCATCTCGTCTCTTCTTCAAAATACAGTGTGTTAGACAGACATTGTCATGCCAAAATGATAGCTTGTGATACTTGGATTAAACACCTTATCTGTAGCTATGTTATAAAAGAAGGCGGCAAAGAATATATTGTGAAGTTTGAGTAATTGATCATATACTCAAAGTTTAATGAACAAAAAGAAGGCTTCCAGTAGAGTAAAAATGATTCTGGAAACACAGTGGATTTGCAGCCTGTGAGCTTTACAAACAGGGATAACATCTGCAGGAAAAGGGCAGACTGCAAGCTCCAGACTGGAGAGTTCACCTTTCCAGCTGCACCCTGCCCATGAGGTGAGGTAGGACTCTGTACCTCAGTGTTCAGATGATCTAATGCATGTAAATCATGGGGAAAAAAATCATATTTTGATAAAAACATGCTTAAAATACATTCATCATCAAACTAAAAGTTTTTCTACAAAGATAGAGGAATCTAGTTCATTTGCCATCCATAGCAGAGCACGATGACTATACCACTAAGAAACATGTGCAGGAAATGACAGATTTTTACCTGATTGCCATCAACCTGGTAGCCATGTTTATTTGCCAAGGTCTTGGCCATTGAGATGGTCACGGAAAATCCAACGATGGCTATGGCAATGGCATCCACATACACAAGGTGGAAGAGGCTGGTGTCTGGATTGGCTGGAGGTAGTAGCCTGAAAGGGTCAAGCTGACTTAAATGAAGCATTGTGACCACTGGGGAAAAAAATGCAACTAGAGGGAGCATGTTAGAGGGGCATTATCTGCAGATGAAGTGATCAATGCTTGGCTGCTTGCTGCTATGGTCTGGCCAAAAGGTGGGCCCGCCTTGACACACAGAGGTTCTTTCCAGGCCCCAACCCTACAGTACCAGCCTTCTACCTGAATGGCTTATCAGCAGAGATCAGATGGCGTTTTATTTAGAAGAGGAGTAATCCTATACCTTCGGCACCTTGTATGGCAGGTGTAAGTAAGACACAGAACAGGAAGAAGAGACGCTCAGTGGAGGGCTCAGGTGCCACAAGACATCTGAACTGAAGCCTGAGGGCAGTGAAGTGTTGGGCAAGGGCTACCTTAGAGAACTACTGTCTGAGTAACAGCAGGTATGCACTGCTGTCCCTTGTTATTTCATGTAAGGACTTTACTTCTTCCCAGAATCTCTTTAGGTGAGTTGTAACATGGGAGAGGGGTGGCCGATGACTATACCCCTTGGGTCTCACCTGGGAATCTGGGAAACTGGAGGGGTGAAAGTATGGCTCTTGGAGCCCCACAATAGGGAAGCCAGTTTTGGGGGGCATTCTTAGAGTTTGGAACCTTTGTCCTAAAGGAACACAATCGGGGTTCCCTAGAATGGCCTGGGGGAAAGGGTAAGAGGTATTCGAAAGCACCTGCTCCAATTCAAGGCATAGGGCCAAATAATAACAATAACAAAAACTAATTGATGTACAATATTATTATACTTACAACACCAATCATTCATCAGGTGCTGCTCCTGTGCCACTGTCTGTGCTTACTTATTTCCAACAGCCCTACAAGTGAGGCACCATTACAGTCCCCATTTTACAGAGGAGAATGAGGCACCAAGAGGTTAAGCTGCTTGTCTAATATCATAAAGCTCACCAAGTAAGTACAACAAAACCCATGGACAACCTGGCTCCCTGCACCTATTTCTCTAACTAAGCCATGTTACAGTGACAAAGGGGATGTCTCAAGTCTGAGGTAAGAGAAAGGGAGGGGGAGAAAGGGAAGGAACCTATTATATGTTAAGCTAGATTATGTGCCACATGCTTGAGAAATGTCCTCTTATTTCTCCTCACAACAATCCTATTAGATAGAGGCATTATCCCAACTTACAGGTAAAAAACCATATGCTTGAAGATGTTAAGTAGTTTTCCCAAGATGGGGCAGGGAGCCAAGCCCCAGGGGTCTGACTGTAAAAGTGTTGTCTTTCCCTTGCACTTTGCTGCTTAAACATTAACCAAGAGGAAGTCCTACCAGCAGATTTGGGTCTGTAGAATAAGACTATGAGAAAAGGATGCATTTTGGAATGAGTTAAGGAAAGGAAACCAAGGAACAGGATATATATTGCCATGAGTGGGATCTTTAACAGTCAACTGTCACTTTGTGGACATTGTACTCTGTGTGTGTGTGTGTGTGTGTGTGTGTGTGTGTGTGTGTGTGTGTCTGTAGATAAGTGTGGTAGTTTGCTCTCAAATATGGACATCAACACTTCTTCCCAGACTCATATGTGCTGCTCATTCCAGCTAACGGTGGGATCTGTTTCCCTCTGGCTGAATCTGGGCTGAACTTGTGATTCGCTTCGACCAACAGAACATGGTGGCGGATGATGCAGTGCAAGCGCCTTAAGCAGCCTGGCAGCTTCCGCTTTTTTGTCTTGTTGCCTGAGCCACCAGCATCTGGCTGCCGTGCTGGAAACACTGCGTGGAGAGGGGCTGCCGGCCAGCCCTCCAGCTGAAGTACCGGACACGAGTGAAGACCTCTGGGTCCCTCAGCACACCTCCAGACACCTGCCGCTGTGTGAGGCCCCAAGGGAGAGCAGCACGAGGCTGGCCCAACCTGGAATCATGAGCAAGTAAATGGATGTGTTTTAAACCACAGTTTTGGAGCCATTTGTTACTTGGAAGTAAGACTCACAGATAACTGAAGCAGTATGATTGTATGTAGATAGGTAGCTAGGTAGGCCTTATTTGTTTCTTGCTTGGTTTGGGGCAAAGTTCCAGAAATATAAGGTTTCTGGATAGCTAAGTTTCAGAAATGTAAAATTTCTTTTGTTTTGTTTTTAAAGTTTAGCTCTCACCCACAGAGGAAAAGCAACATATTTGGGTACAATGTAAGAGGGAAAGGAAGGCATTACATAGAATTTATGGTGGCAAGTGAATATTTAAAAGGAGAAATCCAAGTGTGAGGATTCACATCGAATCAAATTGTTTGTGATCAGCTATTGAAGAGGGTTATCTATTGGATCCAGTCCAAGACAAATGTTTATCACATGACTAATCATGTTAGAGACCCAGGTGTGAGGTAATGGAAAGCACACAACTGGGTATTGGAAGACACTTCTGGGCTCAGGCCAGGACTCACCAGTCACTAAACCCTCATTCATGCTTCTCAAATGTCGCCTTCTCTGATACCCAACCCACAACCCCAGCCCCTCTTAACCCTTACCTGGCTGCCCGTGTCTTCACTTCTGACTGTTTGTCCATTGTCTGTCTGCCTTCCCCAGCAGAATGTGAGCTCTAGGAGGGCAAGGGCTTCGCACTTGCATGTTTGCTTCTGTTTTTAATAATAGGCACTCAAAAAATACATGCTGATGAGATGAACTTTCTTATGTGTAAAATGGGGATCATATATATGTCAATAGTGTTACTGTGAGCATCAACTGAAATGGTGGGTATAAAAGTATGTTACAAATTACAAATCCAAACAGAGGAGCAAGCATTATAACCCTGTTTCACCTTTACATTGAATCATAAGTTACATGTTCATGAGAGCAGTTTACTGTTTGGAAGGGCAGTCCATGCTCCTCCTTCAGCACTTGCCCTGTGGGATGAACTTTGGCTTAAAGAACAGCTCCTATCCCTGTGCTCAGGAGTTGCTTGGATGGGACCAGAGGCAAAGCCTGATGGCATATGCCAGGACCTGTCAATGTCCAACATCTGGGCAAAGGTCTGACTCTGTTCTTGAGGCAAGAGAGAAGAGGGTAGCAAGAAAAAGAGACAGTACCAGAGAGACACACACACAGAGATGCAGAGGCAGCTGGAGAGCATCAGAGAACAGAGTGAGACTTGGAGAGGCTGGCAGTCACTCTAGCTCCTGCAAGTATAAAGAGAATTGTAAAATTTTAAACATTAGATAAAACAGATGAAGCCAAGAAGGAATAAATGATTGCAAACTAAAAAACTTGTTGAAATATCGAGCCGCTGAGCTTTCTATTACCACACCTGCGGCTCTCCCGTGCGCACAGTGCGCATGCTGTTCTCTGCACAGGCTTCAGTCTCCCACTGAGGCCCTGACTGGCATGAACTACCAAGCCCACCAGCAAGGGAGGTGACTGAAGCTTTGAAAGGTTGGATTTGCCGGAGGCACATGGCTAGTAAGTGGCAGGCTAGTCTTTTTGCTCTTAATTCCAATGCCACCCAAGGAGAGGTCTTCAACAACTGGTAAGTGCCAAACAACAGGAAACAAAAGAAAACAAAACACCTCGTGCCACTTGCGGGTGGGGCTGTGAAATCGTGTGATCACCACGGATAGCTTTCCCCAAAGTACGGCTTTCCCCAAAGTTAAAAGCAGACTTAGCGTATGACCCAGCAATCCCACTAGTGGGTAGATATCTGAAAGAACTGGAAAGCAAGATCCCAAAGAGATTCTCACACCCACGTTCACAGCAGCACAATAGTTCACGATAGTTCACATGTTCATAGTTCAGAACAGCTAGGAGGTGGGAGCCAGCCAAATGGCCCTTGGTGTATGAATGGATGAACAAAACGTAGTAAATATATGCAGCGGGATTTTATTCATCGTAAAAAAGTTAGGAAATACTGTAACATGTGCAACATGGATGAACTTTGAGGATATGAGGCCAGTCACAAGACAAATGCTGTATGATTCCACTTCCATATGGCACCTAGAGTGATCAAATTCATGGGGGCAGAATAGAATGGTGGGTGCCGAGGCCGGGAGGAGGGGAGGAAGGAGAGTCATGGTTTAATGGATATAGAGTCTCAGATTTGTAAGATGTAAAAGACTGGACGTCTGTTTCACAACAATGTGAATGTACTTAAAACTACTGACATATAAAAATGATTAAAATAGTAAATTTTGTTATGTGTTTTTTTACCACCATAAAAAAATCTCCCCTACATGCTAAAAACAAAATGAAAACCTAACAAACTCTCAGCTGTTTTGTATGTAGAGAAAAAAAAGACTTTCCTTGCAAGAATACTAAAGCAGGAGTTAGAAACAATAACAGGTCCATTGATTATTCAAGTCACGCTGTTAGTTAAAATAAAACTGTTTTCCTACCCCAGAGGAAGTGTTCCAACGACATCCACATTGTACGATTCTTTCAGGTTAAACCCGGCTGAAATGCCAGTTCCCATGACCACCTGAAACAGATACAGATCTGTATGTTCCTTTGTAAACGAAAATTCAACCACCACAAAAAGGAGCTTCAAACAATGTTAGACAAATTAGTCTCACTTTTAACTTGCACTTTTATAAAGAATTATAGCTAGCTTCCAGCAATGCTCACTTCTCCTAATGACTCTTGTCCACAGAATTAGACTGAACTCTATCTACAGCTTCATTGTGGCCTGGAATTCCTTTCTCTTTATTTTGTTCTGTTACATGCTGGGGTGTCAGGCTAGCTGAGTGCAAACAGAGTCCGTAAAACTTCCCGGCAGTTGGCTGTGCCTTTGCGGCAGGTGATAGGAGTCTCTGACCAAGATGGCTTGAATAAGGGACGCTGGTATGGGTACTGCAAGGGTGATATGATGACAGGGTGTCATCACATGTATGTTTGCATCCACACTCCTCCTGTGGACCCTGTGTCCGGGACAAGAGCATGAATGTGGTCAGAGGTCTCACCGGCATCCCACGATGGTCTCCCATCTCAGTTACAGAGCCAGGGTCAGAGAGAAACTGCCTGTCACACGGTGTCGCTGTGCATGAGGCTTCCCTGACACAGATTGAGCTGGTGTGTAACGTACAACCCTTAGTGAGCTTCAAGAAGGGAAAAGTAATGGAAGGAGAGAGCAATTTTCTCCATCCCGAAGAACTATCACTATAGAGCTCGAGTGGGTTATCCAGGAAAGAATTAGGGCTGACCAGGGAAGGAAGCCAGCCCCTCACAGGGGTGGTTGCTGCAGGGTACCACTAAGGTTAGCTTTTCAGTAAATAACTGTGGTTATTTAAGAACATAATAAAATATATTTTATTTCAATGTATCTGCATTATTTTTATAGATAGTTCCTAAATTGTTAGACATAAATGTGTTTTAAGTCATTTGGACCTAACTCCTTAATGAATGGAACCATTAGGAACTTCTTTTGGTCTAGGAGCACCAGGGGCCAGGAAAGTCTAGGAACCTTCATCTTTTGTTCTTAAAATGTAAACAGCTTAATTTTTTTCAGGTTATTAAAGTTATACGTGTTCCCTGTACAACAGACAATAAAATTTTTGAGGAAGAAAAAATCTTCCATAATCTCATCACTCAGAATAATTCATATTAACATTTTTATTGATAGTTTTCACCTATACTTTAAAAATCATTCATGTCTACATTCACACTTTCTTTTTTTGTCAGTGTATTTGTAGAAGTTCCCCTTGACAAATTCTAACCTTCTCTTGGCAGAACTGAGAGAAAAAAGGTCTAACTCCTTATTTCTCCCCTGCGACTTCTAAATCTCTCACAGAAATAGCCAGGTGTAGGTGGCCAATAGCTGACTTACCGCAAAGAACTCTAAAGGAATCGGTGCTGGCAATTTCTCTTTAAATCTCTCATTAAACTCCTTGCCACCCAACAGCAAACCAAAAACCATCAGCCCGACGCCTAGGGAACACACGTTGAGGTTTTTAACATTCTGCAACACAGCAACTGTACTCTGTAACACAGTGAACACTGGATGTTTACATCAAGCAATAGGCCCTGAATAGACAGAGACGCTCTAGTGCGCTAATTTACATCAGCCATCCCATTACTGGACATTTCTAGTTAAGAGCTCTTAGGCTGAAATTTCTTTGTAGCTTCCACCAATAAGGAGGCATTTCTACCCAGTCATACAATCTTATAGTTGTAATTCTTAGCCAACAATCTTACAGTGGCCCTTCATTTGCTAATGTCTCAATGGAGTGCTATAAAATTCAGAAAAATCCTTAAGCTGAGTCCTGAGCATTAGGAAAGAATAGGGGTTAATATCAGCAAAACAACCCAGAGATAAATACACAGAAAAGCTTTTAGGAGCTGAAAGAAGGAGAAATCATTGTTAGCAGGTGAAAAAGAAGTCAAGTGGGCTTTGAAGGCAAAGCATGCCAAAGTTTGGCAAGAAGCCCAGGAGAGTTAGAGAAGAAAGCCACTTAATTTTAGCCTCGGTTACAGCCCCAGCACCCCAAACACAGTCAGGACTCACGTAGATGCAGGGAAAGCAGGTGGCCAGGGAGCCCAGGTTATACACCTTTCCTCCCAGTGCCTAGAGTATTCTCAGGAGCTTGTGTATTCTATTTCCTTTGTGATAGGCATTTAGAGAAATCTCAGAGTAAGAAGCATGCTACCAGCTGGTATGGGAAATGAAGAATTTAGTTTTTTAGGGGATATTCTTACAGTTTGATTTCATTCTAATCAATCAAGGATTTAATTTTAATGTTAATTCCTCAAAATGACTTTCCTAGACCCCTGATTCAAAGGTCTCCCTATGCAACTGCCACAGCAGCCTGTACCTTTTTTTTTTATTAAGCTATCAATGATATACACTCTTATGAAGGTTTCACATGATCAACATTGTGGTTACTACCCATATTATCAAGTCCCCCACCGACCCCATTGCAGTCACTGTCTACCAGATAGTGAGATGCTATAGAGTCATTACTTGTCTTCTCTGTGCTGTATTGCCTTCCCCATGCCCCCCCTACATTATGTGTGCTAATCATAATGGCCCTTAATTCCCTTCTCCCTCCCTCCCCACCTACCCTCCCCACCCCCTTCCCTTTGGTAACTGCTAGTCTCTTGGAGTCTGTGAGTCTGTGTCTTTTTCTACAAAGCACTTCACACAACTTGTAATTAATTACATATTTATGTAATTATTGGTTTACCAGCATAAACTCCAAGAGGACAAGGGTGACACCTGCCTGCACACTGCTGTGCCTAGCACAGTACCTGGCACATAAATACTTACAAAGCCTACAGGTCTTTCTGTCCCAGAATAGCTTTAGCAGCATCTCAGAAGTTTTGGTATGTACTACTTTCTGTCATTTTTTCTAATTATTTCATAATTTTCTCTTTGTCCATGGGTTATTTAGAAGTAGGCTTTCTGGTTTCCAAGTCTATGGGGGTTTTAAAGTCATATTTAGTTATTGATTGTGAATTATATTGCATTGTGTGAAATAATATTTAATTTTATAATTTGTGATCAGTGCACATGATCAGCTTCAACATAATCAGCTATTATTATTGTTCCCTACATGCTTGCAAATAATTTATATTTTCTCTCAGTTGGGTGCAAGAGTCTATGTATATTTTATTAGGTTAAGCTGGTTAACTGTGTTATATCTTTTATAGACTCATTTCCTTGCCTGCCTGAGTAAGCAGTTTTTGAGAGACACGTTTTCCCATAATGCCTTTAAATTATATTTATTCCCAAAAAGAACATAATTTGGTCTTAAGAAAAAGCTGTCTCTTCTGCTACTTAGGGTGAAGGTGTAGTCACCAAATAAAAACCTAACAAAAACTTCCTTGTGAGGTAGGCAGCCTCAAGTATTAATAAACAGGGAGTTAACGCTTCATTCCCCTTGTAGTGTTCTTCTCAGAAAAGCCTTAGAACTAAATCTTTTCCATTTTATTAAATTCTTGGATAATACACAAGTGAGCCATGGAGGTAAAAGAGATGCAAAAGAGGAGAGGAAAAATAAAGAAGGAAAAACAAGTACCAGTGGGTCAGGGAGATGCTTACTTACATACACCACTGAAAAGATCCCACTGTACCGCTTTGTTTTAACTCCGAACAGGTATTTTAGCATAGACGTGAAGACGTGCACAGCTGCTGCGGTGGTGAACCCACGGACCAGGGGCTCTGTGAGATAGATGGCCACAAATCCAAACCTACAGACACCTAGGCAAAACTGTTTTTTTTTTTAATGACAAAGAAACAAATAAGTCACATGATAGATTAGGAAGTTAAAACTAACAGAAAACATTAATAGGTTCTTTCTGGACCAGTGTCTAACACTGTGCCTTGCACCTAGAGCAGTGTAACAAATCAATGATTGGTGATAAGCAAATGGTGAGAGGTTTGGGGAGGCTTGATGCTTCGGAGCACTGGGCATACACGTATTTCCCCTGTCCCTCAGAAGTGGGGCACATTTAGTCCCTCCTGTTCTTTCTAAGCAGATAAAAGGTGACCTCTTCCCCTTACTCATCAACCCTGCCTCAAGCTTTTCTTGCTTCTGGAATCTGTAATGTCCCCAGCTGAAGGTTGCTAGTTTGTAATAAACATCAGTTTCAGCTAGGTAGGCAGCTGGACTGTGTTCCTGAGTGCTACCAACTCTGCATGCTGGACTTTCTGGCTGATCCTGTCCACCAGGTAGACCAGCCAAGGATGCACAACAGATATTTATGAAGTGAACAAATGAGAGCCCAAGTCCCCATCTGAGAGAATTACCTGAATGATTCCGGAGAGCAAGGTCACGGACATGGCAACTTTGACCCTCAAGGCGTCTCTTGCTTCCGTGCCATTGGTTGCATTTATTCCTCCCGGAATGACTATATCATCTGGTACTAAGCGAACAGCCACACCGCCAATCATCAGGCTAATCACAGCAAATGGACCTGAAATAATGAAGCATTAACCAAGGGAATCATTTGCAGTGTATCCGATGTGGCTGCTGCCAGTATGCCAAGGAACACAGGTGCGGTTGAAATGAAATTGGACTGCTTGCTGTAAGCATTCTGCTCCCGGTTTATGCATAAGCTGTGTATCCATCCCACATACTCTTCTAGAGCCTTGATGATTCCCCACCGAGAGGTAGTCTACTTCCTCTATCCTTGAGCCTGGGGGGACTTACAACAAACTAGTAAGCAAAAAAGAATGCAGCAGAAGTGTTCGTGCACGACTTCTGAGGCAAGCTAATCAAAGGGGACACAGCTTCCACCGGAAAGCTGTAGTGTGTGTGCTGGCGCCCCAGTGCGGGAAAGCTTGAGTCAGGATGTGGGGAGACAGGCGGGAGGGAAGGAGAGTGGCTGGAGATGGGGAAGGGGCTCGGCCTTCTTGTAGCTGCTCTGCCTCCAGCTCCCATCTGACTGAAGGGCATGAGAGGACCCTAATCCAGAACCATCCACAGGAGCCCTTCCCAACCTGACCCACAGGAACAATGAGAGATAATGACTGTTTTGTAAGCTGCTAAATTTGAGAGATATTTGTTACCCCAGCAGTGGATATCGGAATCACAGTGCATGTGTTTGCTGGTGCAGCCTCATGCAGCACCCACACTATTTGGAATCTGAATAAATCTGATCCTAAATACACTAAAGAAAACCCATGTACAATTCAGAGCCTAACACTGGATGAAAATGCAATATATGCATAGTAATTAGGACCTCATGGTACCATTCATCAAATAAATTAAAAGATAAAACTAGAGGCAAGCAAACTGTATTATGAACTGAAACCCCTATTTCACAGATTTTAACAGCTGCTCTTTTTTATACAAGAAAATTGCTTTTCTTTAAGATTTTAAGACAAGTATTAGTGCCAGAAATCTTGCGGGGAGTGAATTCTTTAAAAGCCTCTAATGGGTATGCAGTAACAAGTTATTAGTAAGCACATGTTCTAACAACAAACACATGATTTATTCGGCACATTGCAAGGCTTGGGAATCCCAAAGGAAAGGTACTAAAATATCAATTATAAGCGTTTACCTATGGATATGTGTCTGGAGGTTCCAAAGAAGCAATACATGATAACAGGGTAAAATGAAGAGTACAGGCCAAACACTGGGGGCACAGCCGCCAACATTGCAAAAGCTAAACCTGCGGGATTAAAATCCAAACAGACAGGAGGAGACCATTAGAAAACAGAGGCTTACATGCAGCTTTCTCTTGGTTGGTTACTTACGATGAACAACTGAAAACCATGTTGACTTAGGCAGATGCATCTTAAGCTGCTCACCTTGCCATCCCAGTCCTCCCTGTAGTCCTACATCTGTGCTCAGAGTCCAGGGTGAGACAGTTCTCCTTGTCATCCCCTCTCTACCAGGGGGTGGATTTTTTTCTGCTTTATTCTTTTGCAATTTAGATAAAAGGCAGAAAGTTATAACCTGGTGCTGATGCCCCAGTGCTGGCCATTTCTCTAATGGGGTGTCTTCATGGGTTCTTGGGAGACCTCTTTCCTTAAGGAACTCAAAGTGTACCATTCCTTGGCTGTCCCCTCACCCCAGCCTGTCCCCCAGGTGCCAGGTTCTTTCACCTCTCCCAGCTTTTCTTCTGGCAGATGCTCATCCTATAGGCAGTCTTCTCAGACAGTTACCTTGCAAATAAGCCAAGCCTGGTTGCCTTTTGGGGCACCAGTTTTCCAATGGGAAAGCCTGGCACTTTAACCCCAAGAAACTTTGGAAGCAGAGGGCACACCCACTGCAGGGCTCTCCATTCTGCTGTCAAAGGCACCTCACAACCTTACACCTGTAGATTTTTTTTCTTGAAAGAATTAGGCAACAGTCCCCACAAACTCTAGGGGATACAAGTCTACTGCTCTGAGTGGTTTTCTTGCAATTCTTCCTTCCTTTACTTTAGGTGGAGGGGAAATGTATAGGGCTTTCACATCTCTCTAGAAATTCTCATTCCAAATCTAACATCAATCTCCTGGTCCCGTTATACATCCTGTTGAAGTGATGCACTAAAGAGAGAGTTTGGGTGTCATTCACTCAGTTTTGCACAGATGGCCTGTTAGGTGGAGGGGAAATGTATAGGGCTTTCACATCTCTCTAGAAATTCTCATTCCAAATCTAACATCAATCTCCTGGTCCCGTTATACATCCTGTTGAAGTGATGCACTAAAGAGAGAGTTTGGGTGTCATTCACTCAGTTTTGCACAGATGGCCTGTCAGCCTCTTCAGAACATGGAAGCAATAAGCACCCATTGTTTTCAGCTATGGGGGCTCAGCCAAGTACCTGGGACTAGAAAATTCACTTAATGCATTGTCATGTTTGAAGGAAAAACCTGAGTAGAAGAAGAGGTGCATCTCCCTATTTCATATGTAATAATACGGTCACTTTAATGTTGTCTTTTTTAAAAAACAAATTTTATTTCTAGCAAAGAAACACATGTCCATAGTTTCAAAGACCAAACAGTGTGAAAAGGCTCTGAGGAAAAAAGGCAGCCCTTTTCTGCCTCACTGCCGGGCTCCGCTCCCCAGAGGCACTCACTTTCCACTCTTTTAGGTTTTTGTACCATTTATATCCATTTTTTCTAAATCAGTGGTTTTCAATGGAGAGGATCTTGCCCTGAGTGGACATCTGGCAATGTCTGGAGGTAGTTTTTATTGTTATGGCTGTGTGTGGGGCTGCTACTGACATCTAGTGGGTAGAAGCCACGGATGCAGCTGGCCATCCTACTGCGCACAGGGGGCCGCCCATCATGAGCAGCATTGTGGGGGAGGGTTGAAAAACCTTCTTCTAACAAGTATGTTTGCATTGTTATTTCTTAGTTTATCAGTCTTAGACATAAACTATTGACTTTCTATTATGCCTACTGTTTTAGGTTCCCCTTTGTTCTATCTTATTTATGTGACTTTTTTCCCTTTCTAGAAAGTTTTGGTACCTTCTGCTTATCCCAGGTACTCTGATATTTTATTATGGTGTGCCCTGGTTTAAATTACTTTTCATCTATTCTGCTGTGTACTTGGCAGTTACTGTCAGCCTGAAAATGCATGCATTTCAATTCTGAAAATACTTTTTTGATAATCTTTCCCTTCTGTTTACACTCTTCTTTCTGGAACTCCCTGCAGATGTATGATGAAACACCAGGATTGATTCTCTGGTGTTCTTACCTTTTCTCTCTTATTGTTCATTTATTGTCTTTTTCTTCTACCTCCAGGAAATATACTCTACTTTACTTTCCAACCCTTTGATTGAATATTTTATTATAGCTAGCATTGTTTTGATTTCTATGAGTATAGAAATCAAATTTCTTGTTTCCTGAATGCTCTTTCTAAAAATCTCATCTACTCTTGTTTCCTGGTTTCAACATGTTATTATATGTTGCTAAGGATATTAGAGTGCAAACATCTTTTTATTTTGCTTTCTTCATTACTTAAGTTCCCAAAGAGCCACTGCCTTCCGTGTGGTTTGTTTTCTGTCATTTTTGAAGCTTCCTGGGCACTGGCCCACTTTGTTTACTGACGGGTCTTATCGTAGGGCAATTGAGTGGTCAGTCAGCCCCTCTGCTGGGAAACCTCCAGCTGCACTTTGCTTTTTTCTCTGGGGGCAGGTCATCCTCTGCTTGGGGCTGTAAATTCTTGCAGGCTCTTTGGAGCTGAACGGGGTGAGGAAGAGCCTTTGTTAGCTGATAGGTCAATGTACAGATTTTTATTTAATTTTTCTGATACCTTTCAGTATTTCCACCCTGTCGCCCACTGTGTGGAGTGGGTGTGGGGCCGAGTGTGTATGTGCTCCTTTCACAGGCTTCCAACCAGTTCCCTTGCCACCAGCCCTCTGCCTGCCTCTCACATTTGACAATACTTGGAGCCTCCGATTTCCTAATGTTCTTCAAGGCAGGCGCCTAAACATTAACTTCTTCCACTCATTCGGTTGTCACTCACCATCTCTTGCCATCGTTTTTTTCTGCTCCATGCTATCTCCTCTCCCCTTTACCTTGTCCTTAATAGCTTATACCATTTCCTCCTACTTTACCATCATTTTAGAGGAATTTTAAATGAATTAAGAGATAGACACATGTATTCAATCTGCCATGCTCAATGAAATCTTTTTCGTTAATTTAAATTATTTATCAACCACAAGAAAATTAATTTACTATCTCTTAGATCTCTATCTTTGCTATGTTTTGTTTTTCATATTGATGTATATTCACTGACTAGTGACAGGCAGAAAATACCTTTCCATACAAATTTAATTGTGGGATGACCTACACCTCTTAGCAGCATTCGACCTGCTAGATCATCCCCTGCTTTAAATAATTTCTTCCTCTCTGTAATACCACACACTCCTGGTTCTCCTTCTCCATTTCCAGACGCTTCTTTTCAGTCTCTTCTGCTGGTTCCCCCTTCTCTGTTTGGCCCTTAGTGTTGGACAAAGCTTGATCTTAGACCCGTCCTCTTTTGACTCCATCGGTGGCCTTGTCTGTTGCCATGGCTTAAACGCTCGCTACCTGTATGTCATCTTCCCATACTGAAATCTCTAGCCCACACCTCTCCTTTGAACCCATAATATATTAAATATAAATATGAACTGCCTATTTGTCTGACTCACAAGCATCTCAAATTAACATGTTCAAACTCACCCTTCATTTCCATTCTTCCTGCAATCTTTATAACATCCACAATTGGCACCTCCATCCCTTAGGTGTTTCAATCAGGTCTGAGTCATTCTTGACCATCCTTCTTCTTCACTGTCCTTACATCCAACTCACCAACCCAGAAACCTTGAAGTAATTCTTAACCCAACCTGGTCCTTCATTCTCTCCCAAATTAATCCAACAGCCAGTTATACTGAGTTTACCATAAAATATAGCATGTATCTTTTCAATTCTTTCCATTTTTACAGCCATTACTCTACTTCAAGATGGAAGAAGGTCAATAACAACTGTACAAAAATAAATTTGTGGAATGGCATTTACTGAAGGCCCAATACAGCAAAGTCCTGAGGACTTCTTCAAAGTATTAGTTTGTTGGGGTTCATGCAGCCCTTCACCGCAGTCATTTCCTGGAGCTTTGTCAGTCCGCCTTGACACGTTTAGTTTTTGTTTCCCATTTCAGATGGTGAGCCTCTGTCTCCTCTCACATCTGCCTCTGAATGTGTTCCTTTTTCTATCTTTGGGGTGTTGGTGTCCAAATGGTTGTGGAAAATTGTCCTAAACCTGGTTTAAGGCTTTTGTTTAATAGATTTCATAAATCAGTTACTTGGAAAATTAAACTTACCTAACTGATTATGAGGGGAAGGATTTTTTTTTTGACAAATTGACCATTTGGTGATCAATTTTGGGGAAACTAGAGAAGGGAACAGATTTTTCTTCAGCTGACCTAGACGCTGTTGGAGCCATTCTCTTTTGCCTACAGGGTCACTGTCACTGTGATTGGTCTCCCCACATTCATTCTGGAACCCCTCCCACCAACCAAATGTCCCCACACAGTAGTCTCAGTGACTCCTCAGAAAGAAAACCCAAAGAAAAGCACACTGACAGCTTCCATTGCACTCAGAAAGAAAGTCAAAGGGGGCTAACGAGGTTCTGCAGAACCAGGCCACTGGCCACCTTGCCACCCATGACGGCCCCCTCCCTGCTCTCCCAGCACCCTGCCTTTCTGTCAATCCTTGCAGCCAATCTTCAAATACCACTTCATTTCCTGCTAAGTGCCTTGCCACATGCTATTCCTTTTGCCTGAAATGCATTTCCTCTCTTTCTTTACCTGCTTCCTACTCATCCTTCAGGTCTTAGTCAAATCTCACATTCTTAGAGGTTTTTGTGACTTATCTACTTAAATTAGGTCCCCCTATTATTATCTCATAGTGCCCGGTGTTTTCCTTACTAGTGATTAACACTATTTTTAAGTCAAAACTTATATGTGCTTTCATTTGCATCATGTAATCTCCCTGATATGACAGGTGGTGAGTTCCTTGAGGACAGGATGGTCAGCCAGATGCTTGATGAACATGTGAGTAGATGAATAAATCAATGAGTATTTTCTTAAATTCTTATATCACATATAAAAGTCACACAAAGCAGAGGAATTCAGTATGTCATGGCCCCTTGTATTTAGAATGTGGACTTAAAAGTCAAGGACCTTAACAATTACAACCCCACCAACATGTTCATTGGGTGACTAATTAGCAAGAAGTAAGACAATGATCACCCAGTTCCTAAATATACAGATTTCTAAAATAGTATCACCATATTCTACTACTATTATCTCTGATACTTTTTAAGGGTTAAATGTTTCTAAAGTTTCCCTTTAAACAGGTAAAGTTTACTAGAATGATATGATAAAAACTATGAATTTGCCATCATGATGAAATTAAGTAGAAAAAAAGTCAAGCAATTGGGAGATGGTAGCATGGGAAACAAAAAAAGTAATATAATAATGGAAATGATAAGTATATTTTACTAACCTTGAGGAAGCTGAAGCACCCCTGTGCTTATGCCTGAGACCAAGTCACCCAACACATACTCCTTGAATTTGTAGGCTGGCAACCACTTAGTTATGGGTAGGAACATATAAATGATATTTCGTATTTTCTTAGGAGTACATCTGGGAGGACAAAGAAAGAAAATAAGGAACCCTTCCGTAGAATTTACACGAAGGCATTTTCCCTTCTTCATGTACTGGAGCAAAAAGGAAAATTCACAGTAGTGCTGAGGATGACCTTTCCACTCTGTAGAGATTAGAGAAGATAAGAGCTGCAGCTTGCAATTTTTTTTTTAATGAAAACATCTCAAATGGCTCCCTAATAATGCTCTAGAACTTACCATGAAAATTAAGAAAAATGTAGCTCCAAAATAATTAAGATACCCTGGAAGCTATTATTTTAATAGATGAAATTCTTGATGTACTTTCTGTGTTGGTGCAAAAATGAAGTAGGGGAATTATTTACTGAGTGAGTTAATATTTAAATGTACAATGACTGGCCAGCATCTGCCCATTTAGTTTTCTCCTTCCTTACACAGTGAAGGAAATCTACACAGCTCTTATGAGCTTTCTGAACCTGTGTTCAACACGTTAGGGTCTCTGATCAGGTAAACCCCAAACACCATTTGTCACTGGAGTAGAGTAGTGGAGTCCATGTCTGGTTGCCTTGATTGGTGGGACACTGTGCTCATAAAACCAAGGGCTTGCATTTAATTCCTGTGTCGTGCAATTAACTTTGACTCTGGGCCATGGCCAGTCCTTTTGCCAGTCTAGGCCAATAATCAAAGAGATCACTGAGCGAGAGTGTGGACAGATGAATTCCACTGCCAGTATGACACCTCCAGGTCTTCCTGGTGACAAGGAAGCAATTGATGCAATTCAAAAGATAATGCATTCTTACAGCCTGCATGGTGTTTTATACAGTTTCTTTAGTGGTTAAAGGATCTGGTAATTAGGTGAAGGAAGATATTGTAAATAAAATATGAGGCAGTTATGGCAAGAGCAATGAATCTGAGTGAAAAAACTAGATTTGATGTTAGTCTCATTTAGAAAATTGTAATAGTAACAGCTACACTCATGCAGCGCTTGCCATGTGCTTTACACTTTGCATTATTTAACAGATTTTGACCCCGCTAACTCTACAATGTAAGGACTATCATTATCCCCGTTTTACAGGGTAGGACACTCAAGCACACAGCTGTAGGCAGTTGGGACTAAGATGAAAACTCAGTCTGACTCCAGTGTATACATTTTTAGCCTCTCCTGAGGATCATACCTAGAGCACAAAGTCCTTGAATGAAACGGAGGTGTGGTCCCAAGGGTTTAGGAGGCAGTGACCAGATAGCTTGGTTTTGAAGTCTGGGTGCTGGTAGGCACACATGTCAGGCACACGTGCTTTAGCATTCTCAGGACTGCAACATGGCTGTGTAAGTGTCTCCAAAGGGAAGAGTCATCAGACACTGTGTGCCCTTGACAGCTTAGGTTGGGGACTTAGATTCACACGGTTGCTAAAAAGGGTAGAAGTCAAGGGTAGAAAAAGAGTGGTTGGAACATTTCTGAGAGAAGAAGGAATGAGGTGGGTATTTTGAAGGTGGTGAATTGTAAAGTGGGTTTTTTATATAAACCTTTACATAGATGTAGTATAATAGGATTTTAATAAATACGGTGAAATACATAATGAAGCCCATGTTTAGTCAAGTATCTTATCATGGACCATACCACATGGAGAGCTCTGCAACTCACAAGTGCTCACCATTTGTTTTTTTCCCCACTTCACCAAATTTTCTTTACACATTGGACCTTGCTTCTCTCATAACTGAATGACAGAATAAAGCACATAGGTTAAAACACAACATACGTGAACGCCTGTTTCAGCTTATTCCCAATGGAATCCGAAACCTTGTCCTTCTTGCGCAGTCTTTCCTGCAGGACTGGCTGACTAAAGATGGGCCTTTCCACACAGTACCTCTGGGCTGCTGCAAGGATCTCATTCTCTTCAGCATGATCCATAGTATTCTGAAACTATTCATCAACGGCAGGAGACAAGCATTTCCTGAGTGCCACTAAGGGAGAAAATGACAAACTATTTCAGATGCTAAAATTCTACTGATGGAAGTTCCTAAGCATCTCTGCTTTTTGTGATATTGCAAGTTCTTCTGAGGACTTCTCGACACCCCAGAGCACTGAACACAGGGCTCAGTGCAGAGTGGGCACTAATAAATGACATGAAATCACAATCAGTGAAATACATACAAGACTTATTTCCTCCCAGAGTAATAAGTGGGCAATGTGTATACTTTAATAAAAGCTCATATTAAAATCAATGGCTCTAAGTCCATATTAAAGGAACAGTGAATCAGGCTGACTCTGATCATTTATTGTCATGGAACAGAAAAAAGGGTGCTATCAGGCCCTTCAAGTTTTTTGAAGGTACATTAGCCTCCCGTCCAATTCTGTACTCACATTTGATTACTCCTTAAACTATTCTATGATTTAGAGCTGAGGCTTCTATGGCTCCATGAGGGAAGTTCCCTGTGACTTTTGGGAAAGGCTACAAGTTAAAACATCCATGCAATATTATAATATCATTTTAAAGTTGATTATGTTGTCATGTGTAAGATATTCACTTTTTTTTGCTAAATAGTGAATACTACTTATATGAGTAAAATAAATGATTAAGGAATAAAAACCCAATATGTCTGTGTACATGGAAATATATACAAGGATTTTGTTCACTGCAGATTTATGACAGTAAAAAATTGGAAAAACTCAAATGTCTACCTCTATGCAATAACAAATAAATTTTGGTAGAGTCATATATTGAATGCTACATAGTACTTTAAAAAATGAACTAAATCAATGTGTCTCCATCAATAAATCTAAAAAACTTAATTTCTGTAAAAATGCAAGGCACAGATACATACTCAATTATTTAAACAAAGATTAAAAACTTAAAAAGCAGTAATATATGTTGTTTATGGACGCATATGGTAGTATGTTTATAAAAGCACTAAGCACATTGAAAGATACAGTGATCAGGGTGTGGGGGAACACTAAGATCAATGATAAACACTAAGATCAATACAATGATAAACACTAAGTTCTTTGGGGAATAGGGGAATGAGGTTCAGAAGAGATACAGAGGGAGCATCAACTAAATGTATCTGCTATGTTTTAGTTTATAAAAAAGAATTGACACAAATAGAGCAAAATGTTAACATTTGATTAAACTGCATGGTACATACACAGATGTTTGTTAGTAAACAGGTGACTGCTGCACAATTAATTTGTATATTTGAATTATATATGCCTTGTAAGAAAAAAGTCAGTGCATGACAACTAAAGGCAGTATTTCTAACTGAAGGAAGTTAACAGCAGGAGCTGAGAATTGGTGTGAGCTATGGTTTGTGCCTATGTGGTGACCATGGGAGTGTGCGGATTACTGATGTTGGTCAACACAACTCTCTCACAGTGAAGAGTGAAGATTTGCACCAAACTGAAATGGCATTCACAGTGAACTCAGGCTTGTGTAATTATCCACAAAACATCATGCAAAAATAAATGCCTATATCCAAAGAGGTTAAAAATTCAAGAGTCTAGAATAAAAAATATTCTTGCAGCCAATGCAACCAAGTATCAATAAGGATGATATGAAAGGATTAGTCTAGAGATAAAGATTTTGCAAAATAATAGAACAAATAAAGCAAGATCGTGTGTCTTTTGTTTTAGGCTAGCAAAGCTGGTCAGCCATCTCTCATCTAACATTTTATGGCCATTCTAGGAACTCATCATAATATCTAGGAAGGACTAGACTGATACATGTAAGTGGAGACGACATGTAGCATTGCTATCACTCTGCCTTCCACCTGCCCCCAAGTTCTCTGGAACATTACAAGACAGCACTATTGAACCATCTGTAATTCAGTCAACCCTTCATGCTGCTTTAAGCCCTTGTGCCTGTGCAGAGTTCCATTCACTTGGACAAGAAACGCTGTTTCTTTTCCCTCACTCGTCCATTTCCCCCACACCCTGATCACTGTATCTTTCAAAAGCCTGGTTTTATCTTCTGCTTCTCTGAAATAGACCATACCCTGAATTCCCAGCATCTAGCTTGGTCCTTGTTGCTTAGCACGTGCTCAGTAAGTGATGAATGAATGAAATCTTGGATCAGTGCCCCATGATTGTTGATAATGTATGCCATGTTTCCTCTCTGTTATTTCTTATAATAGGAGATTAAGTCTGCTTTAAAACTTTTTGTTATTGTTTTTTCCTGGACACCTCCTCCTTGGTCTTCTGTCATAGTCAGGAAGATTATTCTTCCTTCACACAGCTGCTCAAAGAGAAAAAGACCAGGAGATCTGACAGAGGTCTAGTAAGAATCACTCTTTTTTCCCCCTTGTTGCAAAAACCCATTTTTACCATTGATTTTTCTATTACCTGACATGAATTCACTCAGCTGTTAATGGAATGAATTGTGATGACCATTGTCTAAGGATTTTGTATCTATCATCTACAAGCCTGGCCACTCACCACAATGGTCTGGGGAAGGTTTTAAAGTACTGATGTTGGGGCCTCAGTCTGAACCTCTGGAATTAGGGTTTTCATAGGTGGGGCCCGGACAGTGGACATCCACTGTGTGTGGGTCTGGGCATATGTCCCTGTACCCATGTGAGACAGCCTTCTCTGTAGATTTCAGAGCAACAGAATAGGGTTACATTGAAATGCAGCAGAGGAAATAAAATATTTCTAAAATATTAGTCATCCTCATCCTTATTCTCAGAAGTTCTTTGGTTATGTCAGACAGGAATTCCTCACTCACACCCATCACTCTGAAAGTTACTTGCTCATCCCTTAGTTCTCCTTCTCTTAGAACCTCAAAATTTCTTCAATTTTGTTAAGAAGGGTAATTATATGTATGTTTTAAAGGTTCCCCAGGAGATGCAGATCATTAGGTAGGTATTTAACATATTTAATAATACTGTCTTTCAACTTTGCTAAAACCCAAAAATCTCCTCAGATGCTTTTAAAAAAATAACAACCCCTGGGCTCCACACTAGGCCAATTACAGCCAAGTCTCCAGGAGGTGGGCTTAGGCATATTTTAAAAAAAATTCTAAGATGATTCTACTGAGCAGAGTTAAGAACCACTAGTTTGTAATTGGAGACAGAGAAATACATATGAAAAAGACAAGAAACTCACAAAGAAACATTTGAAAACAAAACTCAATTGTACACTTTTAGGAAATTAATAACGAACCAGGGACATGATTAAAGCCACATGAGATATTTTTTTTAAAAAATCTCTATAATATATAATATGCTATAACAATAATAAATATAATATGGTAATATAATAGGCTTACCAAAAGGTACATGAAATAAATTTTGAAGAGGAATTTGAAATATAAGGACATGATTTAGCAGTTAAAATCCTTCTTTGAATCTGTCATTTTCATTTTTTGGAACTGGTTCTCAGCTCATCACACTGGAACTACCTGGGCGGTTTTAAGTACTACGGATGCCTGATGTTACTGCCAGGGACCCTGATTTAACTGGTCTGGGAGGCAGGCAGGGATTGAGAGTTTTAGAAGCTCTCCAGGTGATTCCAATGTGCAGCCAAGGTTCAAACACTGACACAGGGGAAGGCAAAGAAAACACCCACACCTGCGGAAGCATGCAGCCAAACTGAAAGAAAAGACTGAATAGGGTATAAATAAATTTTGTGCAATGCATTGTATTACTGTCTTTGCTTATGTGCATCCAAAAGAGAGAAATATCTAGCTTAGGTTTTTCGAGCAAAGTCTTATTTCTATCCTTGTATTCTCACAATGGAAGAGAGTGGTGAGTAAGTAGGCAGGGCAACATCCACTACACTTCATGTACATGCAGTCTTAGTTGTTGCAAACATTTCATTCAGTGTTTAATTTAGGAGAAAACCTCAAAAAAACTTAGATCTCAAATCATTAGACAGATGGACTTAGGAAAGCATTAGGGTATGTACTCTCTGTAGGGTTGCCAAATGAAATATAGAATGTCCAATTAAATTTGAATGTCAGGTAAGAAGCAAATAACTTTTTAGTAAAAGTATGTTCCAAATATTGCACGGGGCATACTTAAATTAAAGCTTTATTCCTTATCCCAACTGTAATTGGGTATCTTATATTTTCTATTGCTAAATCTGGCAACCACAACCATCTGTAGGTCAGGAAGAGACAGAGAAAAGGGGATTCTCAAATATTTTTGAGGTGTTAGGATCCTGGCTATATAGTCTATATCTTCCTTGAGTTATCTGTTTGGCAGTTCACAGATGTCTTCCCTGGGCAGGGGAAGGACTGGAGAGGAGAAGAGGATATTATAATGAGAGGCTGTCCTTTTGGGGAACTTTATTTTATTTTATTTTATTTTGGTATCATTAATCTACAATTACCTGAGGAACATTATGTTTACTAGGCTTTGGGGAACTTTTTATGCTCATCAACAATGATTAAATAATCCAAGCCTTGAAGGCTATCAATAACTACCTTATCAGAAGAAGAGAGGTGAAGTAGCCACAGGACCAAGGCAAGGAGATCAAATGACCAGACTCTTATCTGGCAGATAATGAGACCCCAGTGTGCTGACTGAAATTTTACATCACCAAGTCGTAAAAATAACTGCACAACCCCTCCCATAAGAAAAGTTACTTCTCAGATGGCCTAGAGAGAAAAATCTTCTGGCAGGTTCTCCAACAGAAATACTAATGACAGAAAAGCAAACTGACCTAGAGGTTCAAATCCTGTTTTCCACAGCTATGAACGAAGGGACTTAAAAATAGTTTAGAACATCTTTCACCATAGATTTCTAGATCAGAAAAGAATCTTGGATGTGGGATTCATATATAAATCAAGTATGGAAATAGAATGTATAATCATATCTGCCTTGATTATTTGTAATTTATGATGCATGATCAAGACCAAAACAGTTTCTGTGATATGACTGCCCTTGCATTCATTGTTCACCATGTAAGAACTTGTTCACCATGTAGGAACGTCCCAGAAGAGACTGGAGACTGCTGAGAATTAACC